CCAATGTCCAATAAACCTCCAAGCTGTCTCCTTAGCTCCGCCAACTCTGATGGAGACATTCAATAAGGAGCCTGGGCAGGGATTTTTGCCACTAAAATCAACTCAATGACATGGTCAATCTCCCGTCTTGGCGGTAACCTTGCTGGCAATTCTTTAGGTGCCACGTCCTTGAACTCAACCAGCAACTGTTGCACTGGTTCAGGGACTTGCAATACTTTGGACTCCTCTTCCTCAAATAGAACAACCAAGTATGTTGCTTCCCCCTTTCGCAAGCCATCTTTTACTTGCAAGACAGATAGCATTTCTCCCGAAGACTTAGCCTTAGTGAGGGGAACAAAATAGGGATTGAGCATATCCATCACGAACATCCCATGTAAATGCGGCATAACAGACGTCTTTGCCTTTGTAAGAAATTTCAGTCCAAGGATTACCTAAAAATCATTGAGAGGGACTGTCATAAAATCACATAATTCTTGCCAATCACCAACTTTTAAAGGGACTTCTCTTGCAACGCCGTCTACTGGTTTTGCCTCTGAATTCACAGCCTTAATCTGGTTAGAGTCTTTCACCAAAGCCAGACCAAGCCGCTGTACTTCCCGATCATAAACAAAATTATGGGTTGCACCTGTATCAACCATTGCCTGGACAGTCACATTGTTCAGGCGAATCTGCACAAACATCAACCCCCTCTTTTTCACTGTCTCCTCTTTGCGAATTGCATTAAGGAGTTGTAATGGGTTGACTCGTGTTAGTTCGTCAAAACAGTCAGTTTCCTCAACCATGAGGGCACTGAGCTTTTCCTTCTTGGGGCAATTTCTGGCACAATAAGGGTCATTACAGATAAAACAACCTGAGTCAACACCTCCCTTTGATGAAGAGGTTTTGTCAGTCAATTTTTCTGAATTGCCAAACTTCTCAACCTTTTTTTTCTGCTTATCCTTTTTAGGGAACTTGGCTTTTCCTTTCGACTCCTTCTCTGGAGGGTTAGCCTGTGTCTTGTAGTCAACCAACGCATCTACTGCGGACATAGCAGCAGGTAAGTCTTCACCCCTTGCCGACGAAGTTCTGCCTGTGCCCAAGTTTGGAGACTAGACATAAAGTTGAACAACTTGTCTTCCTCTGACATATTTTTGATGTCAAGCATCAGAGACGAAAATTACTTCACGTACTCGCTCACGGTGCTTGTATGACGAAGTTTCCTTAATGCATCACGGGCTTGCCAAGCCGTGTTGCTGGGAAGGAATTGCTCCTTCATTTCAGCGAACAGAGAGTCCCAAGTAGTAATTGGAGGACGAGATTTGTCCTCAGAACGTGTTCGCCACCATAATTTAGTATCACCAGATAGGTACATGCTAGTAAGATCTACCTTCTCAGCATCCGAAGTGCGGACTGCTTTGAAGTAGTACCCCATATCCCACAGAAAATTCTCGAGTTCTTTAGCATTACGACTGCTTGTGAAAGGCTTAGGGTCAGGCACTTTGGCTTTCTGAGTGATTTCACTGCCAGAAGCCAAAGAAGCATTCTGCAGTGCCTTCTTGAGCACTGAAACGTTTGTCTCATGGGAACTCAATCTTTCCCCCATATCATCGGTCCATGTGGAGATCGTAGCCAGCACGTCAACGACTTCGTTCTTCACTCGATTGAAGTGATCAGATTCAGTCTTTTGAAGTTGTTCATGTGCAACCCGCATCTCTTCAAACCGTTGATACAACAACTCAAGTTGCACATAGAGAGCCACAACATCATCGGACAGTGGAGGACCAACCAATTCCTCCAAACGTGTCATCCTTTCCCTCAAATCAGCATTTATTCTGCCAACCATAGTTGATTTGTTGCCCAAACCACGCTCTGATACCAAACTGTCACAGAGTAACTTTCGTTTTTCCTTCGAGGCTACCTGTAAAGGCGTTGCTACTGCAACCAGACACACTCAAACTCAAGAATAAGGGACAGAAACGCACACAGAAGGCACACACGAGTTTACTAGGACAAAACTCTCAAATCTTATATATTGAACTCAACAATTTAAAAAGACTCTCAAAGCCAGAACACTCTCTACCTTATCAGAATGCTCAAGCACCCTTATTTATACAGGAGTAAGGCAGATTACACCCCATCTGCCAAGGGGTAGTTACACACGTTTTTGCTATTCCATAGCATACTGGCTAGCTGACTTGGTCTCCGTGCGACACCTGATAAGCAGTTCTACCACTTCCAGTAACTGTTGTGGAACTGTCCTTCATCAACATGTATCTAGACTAGATTTAGACTAGGGATGCCTAAAACTGCCTCAGCAACTGCCTTGATTGTGTCTCAACATCATAACCGCTCATATCCTCCTGGTCACATGCATTGAACAACCATGTGTCAGTCAAGTACTCATATTCAGCAGCCATGTGCCAGTCAAGTGCCCACATTCAGCAGTCAGCCTGGCTACATGAACCAATGTGCATGCTGGGTTCAACCCATGTCATGCAATCCGAAGCTATGCACCCACATTGCTCCAATTGAACCCACCACCTGTTGTCATGCTCAACCGGGTATTCTCATACTGTCTTGGTTCGTCACAATCTGTTGAACCACTTAATCACATTACCTTGATTCCAACTTATGGCATGCCTTGGTGCAAGGTGTCACAAAGACCGGCCATTTGCACCCAAATCAGTTAGGGTGTGACACTTAAAGTATACACTATATTCTTATTTGTTCCTTAAAGTTCTAAATATAAAAATTACATCCTTACAATTTTGAGTTTCAATTAAGGCTTATCTTCTCGATATACTAATTTGTTTTAACAGGACGACATTACAAGATTTTTTCCTGAGGGTATACTTCTCCAATAAAAAGTATCTCCCTTTAATTTATCGATATTTTTTTTTCTTTATTTCACAGTATTTTTCAAATTATTACTCTATATTTTTTTCGTAATTGTTATTCTCTTTTAGTCAAAGTCATATAAAATAAAGTGAGGTTTCCTGGTTTGTGCATAAAAGATGTTGAAAAATATTATATAACTCAAATTTTCATCATAAATAAAAGGGATCATTAGATGAAGGAGTTCCATCAACTTTTTTAAATAAGACACACTGATATAATGTCCCCCCTTCATTTAGAATCAACTTTCGTTTCTTTTTTCGTGAATGTCAATAGGATAAATTTTGATGGAATAAACAACCGAAGCTAATCGAATAAGCACGTTACAACATTTTTCATTTGAGGGGTAAAGGGAGATTTCTCCTATTTTATATATTACTAGGGATCAAAGATCTTATGACGCCATTTTTTGTACGTTATTGACTTATTTTTCGATGTTGGTTTTGACAACAAAGAAAGGATAATAGAGTTACAACTGCGTGGGTGGAGGGAAAAAGGAAAAGGCTTAAGGTTTGTTTAGTTTCTAGACAATAGCACTTGAGTTTTGGTTTATGATGGGTTGCGGCTACGAGGGAGGGTTATGGGCAATAGTGAGTGCTAGTGGTGGCTGGTGAATGGTCGTGACTAATAGCTGGAAAAAAGACACGTGTTCGAATTGTCAAATTTCATAGTTCAGACTATTTTCAATTCGTCAACTATATAACAACTCTAGACGTATAAAAACTTTGATTAGTTCAACTCAACCACTACCTCTACTTACTTAGTAAAACTAATTTAAAACATGTGATGTGCAATTGCCTCGGTTCAGATAAGTGAAGGATGGTTCACCAAGGACGTAACAAAAAGGCCTATAAGAGGGAAGTCTGTGAAGACGAGCAAGGCAAGTGAATCTAACACCAGTACTAGCTTTCCGAACTATTTCAATTCTCTCTCTCTCTAACTTAGCCATAAGAGGGTCGACGCCAGAGCCAATTCGAATTTCGGCTTGTCCTTGCAGATGTCTATCGGACGATGGAGGCACCAATCTAGTTGATCAAGGCGTCTAGAGTTCGATGAACGCTTTCCACTATCATTGGTGTCTATTGAGTGTGTGTTTGTGATTGTAATTTCCTGGACTTATATTGCACAATATTATCCGCTTCGACTTAGGTCAAAATGGCATTAAAATGTGTTATACAATGAATGTACAAAGATCCCATTTTATGTACTAGTCCATATTCACTTTACTATTCGATACGAGATTAAGTTATCACATGTAGACTTGTCAAAATGCAATACAATATGATTAAATGACACAAATTAATATAGATTTAAGCAAATTTAGGATTGTGTTCGGGTAAGATATGTCATCTAGTTTAAATAAAATTAATAATTAGATCAATTAAAAAAATTAATAATTAAAATTTTATTATAATAATAATAAAAATATTAAATAGGTTAAACGAATTATGTTGTTTCACTCATTTAATTAAACGAATAATGTACGCGTTGAATGATTTTTTAAATAAATTCGATTAAACTCGACACATACTCATTTAATGTGATAGAGTTGACATCCTTAATTACAGTGATAGAGACGAAGAAGATGAGTGGAGGTATGGGTACATGAATTATAACATCTTGGATATTATTCTCGTCCATATCATCTTTTTGGTATAATGAAAATGATCTTGTGACAATTTTTTTCAAAAGCTGTGGATCACCGTGTCATAGTGAAGATGTCATGCGTGGGGTGTGTAATTACTAATTAGGGGATGCTAGTGTAATTTATCCAAAATATTCAGTAATGATTAGGGTCAAATTTAATTCATCCATTATCGACCCGGAATGGAGCCTGACCCGAAGAATACCAATTGCATTAACTTCAAACGGCGTAGGTAAACTTCACACAATCTCCCGACTTGTCACCACACCAGTGATCATCCACACCAGTTTATTACGCGCTCACGTCTCTCTCTCTCTCTCTCTTAACCTGGAATCTACTCCACAACACTCTCGGTTGCTTTGCTTTTTCTCTATTCTTCCGTCAGACCTCTCTCTCTCTCTCTCCCCCTTCAAATATCTATGCTGAATCTGAACTCATCCCGGTCCTAATCCGGGTGTTGAAATTCCACCTCCAATTCCCAATGCATCCCGCCACGGTCTCACCACCGCCACCAAACCCACCACCACCACCGACCACAACCCAAACCCTTGACGAAATTACCACACTTCTCTGCCATCTACTCCCCTACTCACTCTCCGTCAAATCATTCTCTACCCGCTGGCAAATCATCCGGTCAAAGCTCGCCACTCTCAAATCCTCCATCTCCGAAATCTCCGACTCTCCCCACTGGTCCGAAAACCCTCTTCTCCAAACCCTCCTCCCCAACCTCCTCTCCACGCTCCACCGCGTCCAGACCCTCTGTGACCAATGTTCCGACCCCTCCTTCAACCCCGGCAAGCTCCTCATGCAGTCTGACCTCGACATGGCCACCGGCTGGCTCTCTAAGCAAATTCAGGACCTCGATTTGCTCCTCCGGTCCGGCGTCCTCCGTCAATCCAATGCCATCGTGCTCTCTCAACCCGGTCCAGGCTCGGCTAAAGAAGATCTGGGGTTCTATATTAAGGACCTCTTCACAAGATTACAGATCGGAGGCATTGAGTTCAAGAAAAAGGCCATGGAGTCTCTGCTTCAACTTCTCTCTGATGATGAAAAATCGGCCAGTTTAGTGGCTAGGGAAGGCAATGTTGGTTATTTGGTTCATCTTCTTGATCTGAATACCCATCCTTCACTAGTAGAACATGCCGTTTCAGCCGTATCGATTTTAGTTTCCGCTAACGATCTGTCCAGAAAATGCGTGTTTGAAGAGGGAGGATTGGGACCGTTATTGAGAATCATCGAGTCAGGTTCAATGGGATTGAAGGAAAAAGCAGCCATGGCCGTCGAAGCCATCACCGCCGATTCTGATAATGCTTGGGCTATCTCAGCCTACGGCGGAGTTTCTATACTCATCGAAGTGTGTAAGTCCGGATCAATTGCAGCACAATCACATGCGGTTGGGGCAATCAGAAATGTATCAACCGTTGAAGATATTAGGGTTTCTTTGGCGGAAGAAGGGGCTATTCCTGTTTTAGTCCAATTGCTTAATTCAGGCACCGCCTTGACTCAAGAAAAATCGGCAAATTGTATTGCAATTCTTGCTTCCTCCGGTGAGAATTTTCGAGAATTAATATTGCTACAAGATAAGGGATTGCAAAGACTATTGCAATTGCTTCATGAGTCGTCGAATTCAGATACGGTAGAACACGTTCTGCGAGCTATCTATTCACTTTCAGCTTCCGAATCAGCTTCTCGGGTTTTATCATCTTCAACTTCGTTTATAATACAATTAGCAGAGATTATAAAGCAAGGAAACATAGTTTTACAGCATATTTCTGCTTCGTTGCTCGCTAATTTATCGATGAGTGATGGCAACAAAGGGGCTATTTCTGGATGTATGGGTTCATTACTGAAGCTAATGGAATCAGTCAAGCCTGATGGCATTCAGGAGGTGGTTGCGAATGCATTGGTTTCGCTGTTGGCGGTGAGATCCAATCGGAAAGATTTGGTGAGAGATGAGAAGAGTCTGATGAGATTGGTTCAGATGCTTGATCCTAGGAATGAATTGGTTTCCAAAAAGTTTCCGTTGGCGGTGGTATCGGCGGTAATGGGTGGTGGGAGTCAGGGGTGCCGGAAGAAGTTAGTGGCCGCCGGGGCTTATGGGTATTTGCAGAGGTTGACGGAAAGGGAGGTCGCCGGAGCTAAGAAGGCTTTACAGAGACTTTCCGGGAATAGGCTGAAAAGTATTTTCAGCAGGACTTGGAGGGAATAAACTGCAAAGTAACTAACCCCCGCCAACGAAAGGTAATTAATTATCTGGCAAAACAAAATAAAATAATAATCTGAATTGTTTATTTACTAATTAATTATCATGTGGTTGGCTCGTGGAGTAACTGTTTTATTAATTACGCCTGTGTTCTTGTTGGAAAGACAATATTGCCCTTGTATTATAGACATGGCCCCATCACCTGACTTTCTTTACCCAAAAATAGATTGGAACAAATCATTTCATGTATACCCCAATTAATTTTAATTACGGAACTTTTTTCTTGGAAAATGCTTAATTAATCAAATTTATCTGGGTTTTTTTTTATTTGATCTTTTGTGAAGGACCCACCAACCAATGATTTCTATATTTTGGTGATGGAATGGAAATTTTTTATCAGACCTAGCATTTACTTGTTGCCTAAAATAACTTTTAAACTAGACTGACCGGATTCTACTGAACAAGAGTGAAGTGGATTTGATGGTCCGAAGTACAATTTGGGATCGAGTCTCACCCGTTAATAGAGGTGCCTATCATAATTCATATTTACTGGCAGATGAGGATTTGTACCCCATTCATATTTCTCTCAATACCATCAATAATAGATTGTTCATCAAGTATTGTTGTTTTTTTTTTTTTTTTTTTTTTTTT